TTTTTTTAATACCTCTTAAAATAAACTTAAAGAAACTCTTCTGCTTTTGTATTTTTAAATAAAAACTTTTAGTAATATAATTTATTATAGTTAAGTAAGTTAGCTAAATAAAAATAATAAAAATAAAATAAAGAGTACCTACCTATAGATATATAAGGAATATATTACTTATAGTAAAGTCTTAAAGATAAAACTAATAAAAAAAGGATATTATATTATAACCTAGCTTTTATAATTATAATAATAAGCTTATAAGGTAGTTAGTTTTAAATAAACAACAGATTAATTAATTAATTAAAAACGGATTATTAGATTATTATAATAATCTAACGATCTATTAATAAATTATTAAAACTCTAAGATAATCTATAATAAGATTATTTATACTTACTAATAATCCAGCCTAGCTAACTAAGTATATAAGTTTACTTTATATTACTTATTAAAAATACTTAAATAGCTAGTTATTATTACAGCGTTTATAATATAATTAAATTAGAATATAAATATCTACTCTTATTTATATTACTAGCTGGTAATAAGATTACCTATTACCGACCTAATCGCTTCGCTAACATAAACCATAAAACCACTCTAAGGTTTGTCCCTTAGAAACAGCTAACCTATAGTGCCTATAGGACCCGGTTCGTCACATAAAGCCCAATAGTGTAAATCAGCTCAAATTTAGCACTAAAGCTCTCGTCGCTCTCATCAACTATATCTCTTAAGTAATTGTCAAATAGTCGTTAAAGCTCTAATAGCGAACGAGCAGTTTAATCCTTCCCATTAATCTAATATTCAAGTCCCATTAACTAAAACGACAGCAAGTACTCCGGCTGGACCAGCATAACCCCACCATCTTCTATACAACGCCAATTCCGAGATGGTGTTTACCGTAAACGGCTGTGTATTATCGATATCTTGTTGAGATAATGCCATAGCGTAAAAAAGAGAAATAATTTGAATAAAATGAGATATTATGTTATGAGATAGAATGGCTGCAGAGATCTGCCCTTGAAGCAGAGAATTTTAACATCTATTTTATTAATAAGATCTAATTAGCCAATCAGAAGATATCCTTATGTTGATATTAACTTCGCTTGATATTACATATAATATTAAGCGATATAGCAATATAGCAAAGTTGATATTAATATAGTGTATCAATATACCAATATCTGCTGGCCAGCTACATGTATGGATAGCATTCGCCTAAGAACAATAACTATAAGAGGACCTTTGAATTCTCTATGTCCGTTAAATAATATATTTACAGTTTAAAGCGCTATTAGGAAGATAAATGTAGTTAGTCTTGCTTTATTATTAGCACCTTACATACTCTATATAGTAAATATAAGCTATAACGTAGGTCCTACGGGTGGTTAATAAGTAAGGGTTATTTTCCTAATTTACTAACTTTCGTTAACGTTTATTATTAAGAAGGTATATAAGCGTATTATTTAAGTATAATAAGGCTTATTTTCTAATTCACAGCCTCTTAGACGCTTACTATTATATAAGAGCTTTAAGAGAAGCTGCTGATGTATAAATGTAGGGGTATTAACTAGTGCTATAGTATATGTAAAGTAACGTTATAATGTCTCTTAATTATTAAACCTGCTTTATATTTTTATCTTTTAAGGTACTTTTAAGCTATTTATAATTATATTATAATAGAGATATTATAGTTAACTATAGCAGCTGATTGCTTATTTAATCTAAAGGCTTTAGTATACTTATTTAACTCCGCTACGTAATATTATTTATAAATATCCAGCTACTATTAAAGATTATATTCATCTACGTCTATATAAATGTCTGAATTAGGTAAATGTTATATATACTCTATTTTAGAATATAGGCTATATAAAAAAAGGTTCAGGTATACACAGTGTAATTACTGTATTATTAGTATGTATATATTGTAGCGATGAACAGAAGGCTGAGCTATGAACTTTTTATTGTTCTTTAAATGATCGGTAGACTATTGTTATTATATAAGTAGCTAGATAGGCACTATAGACCAAAGCCTTATTCAGTTTTATCAGGTCGTTATTCTATTAGATTAATGTTATATTGATTAGTTGAGGGCCTCGAGTTGTGACGAAGTCTCCGAGCTACTGTAGCTTAGCCGAAAGACATTCCTGCATACTAATTAGTGCTACTGTAGCTAATAATGTGACCAGGCGGATTTCCACCATACGTTATACTCGTAATATTACATCTGGACGGTGTGTTATATCTACGCACATGCGGCGTCTACAAGCAATAGGACGCTACGGCACCGGCACCTCTGAAAGTTTGGCCGGCGCAGAAGGAAAAACAGAAGAAAAAAGAATACGAGGATTCTGATACCAGCTACTATACATGCATTGCTAGCCTTTGCCTAAAGGATAATAACAATAACGAAATCGTAGCATTCTCTCGCCTTATCATCGACACCTTACAGTACATATACACTCCATGCAGTAGATGCAGACTACAAAGTGGGTTCCACGGACGGCTGAGCTCCCGGCATATCATTAGGTTTAAAGAAGGATCAAGGCGTAAAAAAAGACGCAACGTTATTTATAAGTCACGCCACTATCGCTTAGACCTTCAAAGAAGGGCTATTTTCCTGATTCGCCGACTCTTGTTGTTGCCCAGTACTATAAATCCAAGGGTGCTTTATCCAAAGTAAAAGAAGGAACTTTTGCCTGATCCGCTGCCTCTTCCCGCTGCCTACCATTGTACAAGGGCGCTTTATCTAAGTGGTCAGCTTCTATAGAGTACACCCCCATGATTTTATTATACCTCAATCGTGCTGCCTGTACTTTACCATGCATATATGCATCAAGGAAAGTCTGGGTCATAAGAGAGGTGGCTGACCCCGCCCTAATCTTCTAGCTTAGACGAGGGCAGATTTTCTGATTGGCTCCTATTGCAGTCAATAGTACGAAACCATGCGCCAGTTGTGTTTCTTTATTTTAGCGCTCTGCTGCTGTACCAAGCGAACACCGTAATCCGCTAAAGTAGACTTTTCGTCCGCGTACCTTAGGACATCCCCCAGGCTGCACACTTTTTATCCTCCTATACCTTTGACTATGTATACCAGGGGTACATACTCTCCTTAGTTTATAAGAGGCTGGGTTGTGCTGTAACATCTGGGGGTTGATAAATACTTACTTCTTCATTTTGTCCTGGCCGAAATACGCGTCATCACAATCGCACCTAATGTCGCTCTTATTAGAGACCCCTGTAGAAATTATTCGCCTGATAGCGCAGACATGCTCTGTTGACGACTTTAACAGCTTTCGCAGGACATGCAAGGCGATCTATTTAGCGAGTCTCGACGTATTCGGTAGTAGACTTGCAAATCGTCGCGTCATGCTAGCAGAGCCCAGTCTACAAAACCTCATCGCCATCACACAACATAAAAGGTAGAAATATTACGTACGTTCTCTCGCGATCAGCACGGCTCACTTCCCTCAACACCATCCTCCGATCCTGGCGCCTCAACATAAAAAAAGTTATTACAGACTTCAAAGGGATCAGGAATGCTTTATTTCCTCGGGACGTGCCATGGAGAAGTTGCGGGATGCGGTGAAGGGACTTACACGTTGCAAGTCAATCATTCTCACAGACGCCAATAATAAGATACCTCGGGGTACACGGGCGTTGACCAACGGAATGGCGTTGGAACCTCAAGGTGGTGCCGATATCCTATCAACGTATAAGAGGAAAGACTTCGTGAGACAGGCTCTCGATGCTACGATAGCCGCTGCTACTGCGGCAAGCCATGTCGTAAGATTGGGCATATGCGTTGGTGACCCCGGCCCATGCTTCGAAAATGCAAAATGTATCGGCTTATGTCTATACTATAGAGATAGTCTCAATCCCCTTGACATTATATATTTAATGCGAATCTTTAATCTCCAGCTCGATCTCAAAAGACTTACTTCCCTATATTTGGTCGTTTATACCAATAATGATGATATCGATATAAATAGTGGGTTCGAGGAATATCTCAGTCATTTTGAAAATCTAGAACATCTCGGGCTAATCTGTCACCAACCGGCACGTTCTTCCGGTATGCTCGGGAGGCTTTCCTTGCTACGCTTCCGTAAATTACGCTCATTGGCGCTTCGCGGCATAAATAGCAAGCGACAAGAGTTACTCCACTTTCTTAGTAGCCACGAACACACTCTTCAGATGGTAATACTTAGGGGAATCGGACTTCAGGGTGGTTGGGAAAATCTGCGCCGGCCGATGGAATGCGAATTTTCATATAATCTTAATATCTATTTATGCTATAATATAATACTAAACGACCTTGCTGGAGAGTTTAGTGCTACCTATAAAGGCGTTTGGTGGAAATCTTACGTCTAGAGCACTACGGGTGGGAAATATAACTATTATATCTTACTTTTTTAACAAAATAAACCCTCCTGTTAGACGCATAAAAACCTCTATAATCCGAGGCATGCCACTTAGTACCTGTTCCACCATCCATTCTTTTAGAAGTTCCTTATACTTTATTTACCCGCTCTTCCACTTTTCGATTACTGAATCCTATTTATTACTCCCTTTCGCCTTTAATCTCTCCATTACTTCATCAACAACCATCTTCCCTAATCTGCCACCTCCTATCACCAATAGCGCCGCCACTGTCTGCATCATCACCTCTGTCCCACGACATCCCCCCCACTCATCACTTTTAGTCCCGGCAACTATCTCCTCCTCAAGCATTGGTATATATACTGCCCTTGGGAAACCGCATGTCATTTTACAAGTGCCTCCGCTTGTAAGCCAGTCTTCAGCTTCGTCTTTATCTTCGTCTTCACTGCCATTTTCTCCTCTTTTTCCTTTTCCTCTTACACTTAATAGCCTCTCCACAAGCCCCCGGAACTCCTCAGACTCGTCCCGCGACGTACACTCACCGGCTGCATGCGTGTAACACATCTCGCTCCATTCGTACGCCCTGCACAGCTGGCACTAAATCCACCCTTGGCCCCATTCCTTAATCCGGCTTTGAATAAGATTCCAGTAGAACTCTTCCCATCCATATCCCCAACCATGCTCCATTCAATATTTATCGTAGTACAAGGCCTCCTTAATACACTTGTCATCTGCTGTCTTAAACCTCATCTTGGTCATCCCCTCGTCATTTGATGACCTTATTTTCTTTTGCCAATTCCCTCTCGCAGCCGGCATGTAGTCATCAATCGCTTCCCTGTCAGCCCAATGCTGCAAGCTTAGTGCGTTCAGCTCCTCCCGTCGTTGCTCCATCGCCTTCAGAATCCACGTCTCTTCTACTGCGATATCCAGCTGATGAAACACCCGCACCATCGTCATCATCTGCCGCGATTCCCACAGCATTGGCGATAGGAGCCACCCGCCCAGTCCCAGCTCTCCATTGAACCGCGTCCGGCTGTCTTCCCGCCACTGCTTTACCATTTGCAGGAGCGTCAACCCCGAAAATAGTTGGAATGTCAACATCGCCGATACCGTACTTAGCACCACCCCAGGGAACCCGCACACCTTACCATCGTCCCGCTCGCGCCATTCTTTATCGTCTCCATACTCTTCTCCCTCTCCATCTCTCTTGCTCCACTGACGGCAGCGAGATCGGGGTAGGCAACACCCGCTGCACCATGGAGCTTCTCCGTAACCTCCAATTCCGCTCTCCTTAATACTAGCTATCACACTCTGGAGACGAGACTTAATAGAGCATGCTAACGCCCTCTCGGGCCTTTGGCAATCCGACAGGGCGTGACTGTTGCAGTTGGTGTCTCTATGAAGAAGACAGAGCGGACAGCTAACGATCCATCGTTCCAACTGTTCCTGAATCCGCCCCCTCGCAGCAAGATCATGCCTCTGAACGTCTTTCCAGTTCTTCCAGGTCCTAGGGTCCGGCCACATCCACCGCCCATCCGAGCGTTGTCTATACCATTCATACAGGTCCCCCTCCGACTACTCTCTAATTAGCGTATTAATCTTATGATAGATCAGTGAACTCTCCAGCGAGCCTTGGAGCGCACCACTCGCCTGGATTGCTATTTCTTGGTGCGTTAGAGCAGGGGCGTCTCTTAATGGATGAGGACTGTAGGATTGCCAACGATAGTGAGGGTGGTCAGAGCTCCCTCTCGTTTCCTCTCTTCCATGCCCCGCGCATTCTTGCCTCGACGCCGTGCTAAAGCTTGCGCCGGCTTACATGCCTGTGGGTGAGCTGCTAGGGAATAGAATCGACGCAAGGGTTGTTCCCTTCCTGCTATTTTCCTCGTGCCTATCATTCGCCCGTTTAAGCATACTATTGCTTTCTCAGTTGGTTATAGTAGCTTGCTTCGTTGTGCCGCTCTCTTGCTTAGAAAAAAAAGGGCACTACAAATGCGCTGTTCTCCTTGAAGTGTTTAAAGATGAAAGTCGGTCAGCTGCCTTGGTTAAGATAAGTCTATTAAATAGCAAGCTGCGTATTACTAATTATTATCCCCGCTCCGCGACTGAGTTATATTTTACATATAGCTTAATCTCCTCTTACTGCATCGGGGACGAACACCTATCTACCCAATCCTGAATATTACTCTTGAATATAAACCATATAAAGCTCTATACATCCTTTATTTAATCCAGCAGCCCCTTGCGTAGCTTGCGTAATTCTTCTGCTGGTCGCAGCTTCGACTTACCAACCCGCGGCATCAGTCGCTTACCCTGTACCTCAACCAATCTAACAGTATTTAATATCTGGTTATTTATTATTTTATATTTTGCTAACGTACATTAATAGCGATGAATTAGAAAGGATGCTACATTTACTTATGTTATCTATTGCTGGTTGAACGATCCTCGCCCTGGACTGCTCATTTAATAATGGCCCTGTATTAATTAACCCACTTCGGACCCTTTAACCTAACCCCGCGCGTACTTCAAAGTCGTACAACATCCTCTTTATATAATAGTACGGTGCTCAAGATATGGTATTGGCTTTGTAGTTGGTGGAGGAAACTTAGAATTCTCTAAATCGGTCTGTATGCGAATGATTTTATTAACCTTTAGAACTGCACCCTGAATTTTCCCTATACGTATGGTGTTATATCTCTTATGAAGCTTGGTAACTTCGCCAACTTGGATAATTGGTCGAGAAGCGGCACGATAAGCCAGATGTAGTATAATAAAAGCTCATCAACCTCCTTCGGCAGGTACCGGTGAATGATCTTTGTCGTCCCAGTTATGGCGTAGCCTTTGTGATAGTAGGTGACGAAGCCGACTAGTTCATTCTCAATAAACACGTTTCTGCGGCCACCTGAGCAATTCTTTGAGTGTTGGATGCAAAGCAGCTCCGTGCCCCGACCAGGTTGACCTCCAGTAATGTGCACGAAAAGGAGCAAGCGCCCATAGAAAGTCTCCACTGCAGTAACATACCGAGCCACGACAGCAGTACGCCATTAAGCTTATTCCATAGAGAGCTATAATCCATTCTCCAGTACAGGCACTATATCGGAAGTGGGGGAGCCTTCTTTGCTCCAATGATACCTTAACCACAATTTCACCTCGTGTATTTCATCAATCTTCATAAAAAAGTCCTTTAGCTAATATAAGATACAGTTAATCTACCAAAGAAGTCCTAAAAAGTCAGTACTATCGATTGATAATTGGATTTATGACTTACCAAGCTGATTAATGAGTCTATATCTTGTTGATCCGCTTACCACGAGGCGTTCCAGTTAATCAGCTATGATGCTTCCTCCTTGCACTGCAATGGACCAGCTTCTTGAACAGCCCTCCAATGAGCCGTCAGTATGTATTTGAGGCCCAGCAGAGTATACCACTATCGTATTGCCCAGTGAATCCACCTGTCGTAGCCCTATCTTGATAGTCGTCTGGTCTCCGATATCCAACACAATAATCCAGGGATTCGGCTCCTTTGCGGTGTTTCCGGGAGGCAATACAGCGATATATGAGTTAAATACTTTTGTAGCTCTTATATAGTCCGAGCCCTTATCGTGTTGTAGTAAAAGGCGATCGTTGGTTGCTCGGGCGCGGGTGATAAGTAAATCCGTAACAGTGTACTGGCGTCGGCAAGGTGAGAGTTTCGGTTGTTGTAACATAGTGGGGATACCTCCTATTTTTTAGCATATCATCTATCTGAAACTTACGTATTGCTGCGAAGGCGTCTTATATATTCCTACAGCGTGGAAAATTAGACGAGTTATATAACTCCTGACATCCAAGGCTTTAATAGAAGGTTCACAAGTAGGGTTAAGCAAAGGTGCGAGGCGGGGTCGCTACTTGAATTAAATTAAGTTCAGCCTTTAGCGGGACTATTCTTAAACGGGTTTTCCAACAAGCAGCCATATTAAAGAAATACAGTGATAACGACATAGAGTGCTATTGCCTAACCTAGCTAGCATCCCGAAGACAAATAGGATAGATACTGAACATGTAGCCTCGATATTGGCTCTTTCATAGAGCAGCAACTGTCAGACAGCCTAACCCGCCCGCTGTCAGTGGAGTCGGTGGATGCGATTGCACAGCTACCTAACAATCGATGTTAATAGACGCCGGAACGGCAAACTACATCTGCTGCTGCTAATTATGTAGGTGGAGCTCCTTTTCACAGGAGCGTGCATAAACAAAAAGAGTATAATACTGTGTATGCTATAGACCATAAAGACGCAGGCCCCTTGTAAGTAGGTGGGGCCCCAGGAATCACCAACATATTGGCCGAAGTCTTAACAAGTGGCAATTTCATTCCCTTGTTTCCGCCTTTTAACTGTTTTCTTTTTCTTCCTCGGCTTTTCTTTTCTTTTGTTCATTTGCTATACCCTTGTCAGCTTATCTCAGTTTATGGTTGTACATAAGATTTTGTTGCTCCTGCTTGCCTGCACATTTGATTTCTAGCCTCCCCCACGCGTATATCCTGCAGGCCTCAGAGAAACCTCTCCGTCTGGGATGACTTTGGTGAGAGAGAGTACATCGCGATGGCCATGTGGCTGATTCGTGCACGTCTTGTCCGCTCTCAGATGCACCCCATTATTAAAGCGGCGTATGATTAATCTCTATTGGCTGTGGGGTAATGTCAGTCGTGAAATTATCCTCAGAACATAATTAAGCGGTGTCGGAAGACCTTGCTACCTGTCTGACCGATCATATAACCATTTCGTCCCTAGGCGTGACCAAAGCAATGAAGAATAGCTCACTCCACTTATCCCGCCTCTGTTATTCTGTTATTCTGTGAAGACGAAGCCCGATCAACCATCTGGGTTGGTGGTCAATATTACTTCCACGACGAGACGGATACGGATCAGGAGATTAATGGTTCCCAGAGAATTTACAAGACCATGACAATGAGCATGAGATCGAGATGCCACTCGGAATAAAGTTTGCCAAGATTTAAATTATATTCCACAGCCGCTCTTCAGTCGCTCTTCAGCCAATCTAGATTACCAATGCAATAAGTGGAGACACGCCTGTCGGCACCTTAGAGTTGAACCAGGCTGAAGCTGAACGTCTAAATCGAAATGAGGCACTGATTGAGGTCGAGTGTGAAAAGGTGGTCAACTGTCGACTTCAGTGCCTCCGCCAATATCCAGCGGTATTTCTAAACTGCTGCGCGTGTCCTCGCTAAGTACTCCATGCATCCCCTATGTTTCAGCTTCCGAAATTAAATTCCGCATGTTTTTCTAGTCCGGAAATGAGATCTACCAGACTTTCATTAAGAATCACTGCGGTAGCGGTAGTGGACGGCGGCTTCAAAGCGACACCCGAACCCTAGTAAATTGTTAATTAGCCTGCTCCGTGATATTACAGGCTAGTTAGTTTACGTAGAGAGGTTATGGTCCGCTTTAAGTGTCATTTATATCAGCAGTAGCACCCGTGTCTTATAGCATGAAGTGAGATACTCATTACTCGTGTTTCAATATTGTGCAATGTTGAATCTGAATCTAGTTTCGTTGAATTTAATGCTACCATCTGTCAGCGGTAATAGCTTAGCACAAGTAGCTGCAACTGCAACAGCTTCTTAAACTTCCCACTATGTTGCAGGTGGAAAGTTTCATAAGACGCCACTCTCGACATCACTTCCTCAGCTTATCTTGGCAAGTCTAGGCCTATACAAGTCTTCTGCAATGAGCAAGACCATAAATAGGTGTCCGAATCTAAGCAAACTTATTCATTCCTCGGCCAACCTGATATATAGTTCTCTACTTTCTATTAGCAATTGCTTCCTTTTTGACTTGCTCAAATTCAGAAAGATGGAAACACAAGTAACAGCTTCACCAATTCGGCCGTGTGCAACTCGCGAGTGCCACCAGAGTCTGCTTACTACAGACCCAGGCTATAAATCTCGACGACAATCTGTCGAACAGTTCAACCTTGCGCTCCGAACAACCGGGTCATTGCGGGCAGGTGTTGCATATATTCCTGTTGTGGTTCATGTCCTTTTCAATAATGCAGAGCAGAACATCAGTGATGCTTAAATCGACAGCCAGATTGCCGTCCTTAATGATGATTTTAACGCAGCTAACGCCGACATCAGCACGATACCAACGGTCTTTCAGACGCTGACGGGGAATGCGGGGATAAGGTTCTTTCTCGCGAAGCGAAATCCGCATGGCAATCCAACGACAGGCATCACCCGTACGTCTACACGAATCACATCTTTTAATAAAGATGGCCCCCGCGGGGATCCGGATCGTAGGATGAAGTTTACCCCAGAGGGTGGCATAGATGCATGGCCAACCGACCACTACCTCAATATATAGGTCTGTGATCTCGGTATAGGTAGTCTCGGTCAAGGATTACTTGGGTACGCGCAATTTCCAGGTGGCCCTCCTGAGACCGATGGTGTGGTTATCGATCATACAGCATTCGGGACCATGGGGACTGCAAGGGCGCTATTTAACCTAGGCCGCACCACAACCCACGAAATCGGTCACTATCTGAACTGCTTTTACATATGGGGTGATGATAAGCTAATGTATACTGGCTCGGATCAGTGCGAAGACACGCTGAACCAAGCTGGATACAACAGAGGAAAGCCGACGTTTCCTAATATCTTATGTAATAACGGACCTAACGGGGACCTCTTTATAAACTACATAGACTACACAGATGATGTAGTCTATACCATGTTTACCAAGGGCCAGGTCAAACAGATGGATGCGACTCTGTCGGGACCGAGGTCCTCGCTAGTGGTGTCGAATTTTCAGGAGCCTATCTTGCAAACGGGTACTGCACTCCACAACACAGACGATACATTCGATTTCGCAATAACAGACTGGAATAGCGATAGACGTCAAGACCTCATTGCCATTAAAAAGAGTAACACCGGTTCAAACAGCACGGAGGTGCATATTCTCTCAGGGGCTTCAAGATTTCAACAATTCATCCTGCAGACAGGAACTGCACTTTACAATACAGATAATACATTCGATTTTACAATAACGGACTAGAATGGTGATGGAGGACCTCCGGACCTTATTGCCATTAAGAAGAGTAGCACCGGCTCAAACAGCACAGAAGTGCATATTCTCTCAGGGGCTTCAAAGTTCTAAGAATTTATCCTGCACACAGGAACTGCACTCCATAACACAGACGATATATTCAATTTCGCAATAACAGACTGGAATGGCGATAGACGCCCTGACCTCGTTGCCATTAAGAAGAGTAACACTAGCTCAAACAGCACGGAAGTGCATATTCTCTCAGGGGCTTCAGATTTCCAATAATTCATCCTGCACACAGGAACTGCACTCCACAACACAGACGACACGTTTAACTTTATAGTCACAGACTGGACTGGCGACGGACGTCCAGACCTTGTTGCTATTAAGAAAAGTAATACTGGCTCGAATAGCACAGAAGTGCACATCCTTTCAGGGGCATCGAATTTTCAAGAATTCATCATGCAGACAGGAACTGCACTCCACAACACAGATAATACGTTTGACTTTAAGATGACCGACTGGAATGGTAACGGACGCCCTGACCTCGTTGCTATTAAGAAGAGTAGGACTGGCTCGAACAGCACAGAGGTGCACATTCTTGCCGGCTAGGTCCAGCCAAGAGATATCTTTTCGTCGAGTCGAGTCGCAGTAGGCATTCAAGTTTAGAATTAAGAATCTGGGTAGTCAAAGATGGTGATTATTGGGTAATAGCTTTCGGTCGTTGTAGGGAGTTCTCTACTGCAAGCGGAGTTTAAGCTCGGCCGACCGTTAGCGGGTTCCTATCTTTTATAGCTCGATTGATCTCAGGAGTTCCTGACTTCCTGGAACCGTAATTTGCTATATAATGAACTAAATGACCAACGTTTTATTCTTCACAGAACAAAATTATTACTTAAATCCAGGTTAGGCGGCTTATGTACCAGACGATGATATACTTCTGCTAGCTTGTCTTAATCAGTGGTCGTACATAAGATTATGTTACCCTGACTTACCTAAAATAAGATGTCACTAGTTAGCCGTATTTTATGCACATACCTAACGACATTAATAATCTGCGGTATTCTCTCCAGTCGTCTACATCTATCTACTCTCGTAAACTTCTTAACCTTTTTTCCTTAATTTATATCCAATTGCGCCTCTCGTTAATAAAGAGAGGAGCATCATTTTTAATGCACTTCGAGAGTCCACAGACACATCTTCTAGTGAAACTCCGCAAGCTTCCCTCCTACATCTACAGGTACCCCACCTTTTGGGTGCCTAACCACCAAAAACCCTCACTCTGTTTGACTAGCTATCAGACAAAACGACCTCGTTTTTTACTTTCACGGTCCCATCTGGGGACTCTGGAGAGATGGCAACATCTACAAACCCTCCGGATAACCAGAACAGAACGAACCCCGTCGCCCCCGGACCCGCGACAGTCTTTCAATTTCAGAAGGAGACGACCCCCTCAGGCCCAAGCACGGGAGAGGTCATGGTCCTCCCCTTCACCCCCAAGAAGAAAAGGCGCTTCGGAGAAGCCCTCGGTATGGACAAAATGCCCACACCCAGCTTCAACAGAGCAAAACCAAGCACAGCGGCGACATCGACCGCAGCGCAGACAGCCTCGAGAGGCCTCATCGCCTCCATTTTCAGCGGTGCAAAGGAAGCCACCGACCCAAGCAAAGAGGGGAAATCACTCACCAAAAACAAAATCATGAGCCAAATCAACGAGATCAACGCCCAACAACGGGCCAGACAAGACGTGGTATTGAATATAGCTATGGCTATCGACTCCTGCCTGGCGCAATACACATCCCAACTCTCCTCAGCGGTGGCAGAACAGGTCCGAACATGCCTGAACACCGCACTCGAAAACTTCGTCACCTCCCACATCAACCCAGAGGGGAGGCCCAAAAACCCTGAAAAAATGGGCAGCAAGGAAAGAGCTGCCCAACCATCTGAGACAGCGTCAGCCAACTCATCTCGCAGCGAGGAAGGCAAATCAAACGGCCCCAAGAACCCCACCACAACGGGACCTCCCGCAGCCACTGGAAAAGTGGGCCAGAAGGCCCCCAAGGTCACGTGGGCACAGGTCGCGTCGCGGAACACCACTCACAACAAAAAGCCGCAAAATGACAGCAACACCCAGAAGAATCCTGCTCCCAGCAGCGAGGGGCCGGCCCCCGCTGACAGAAAACAGAACAAAGACAAAATCACATCGGGCAACCAAAAGCCCGATGACCGCATCTTCATCCGGGTCCCGCCAGACCATGTCTGGAGGAAGATGACGGCCATCGGGGCTAAACAGGAACTGATCAGCCTCATGAAACTCAACGTCGAAGACATTACCTACTTCCAGGAGGTCCGATCGGGTTTCGCCCTCCGGGCAAAGGATCAAAACACCAAGAACAAAATCATCGCTCTCAAGCCAGCCGCAGAGAGCAACGACCTAAAAATCGAAGAAGCATGCACATGGAAGATCTTCCTCGTGCGTGGCGTGCCGAAAACTTATACTGACATGAGCGGGACCCACCCCACGGACGCGCTAATCCCCGAGGAGGCGCGCGCCAGGGCTGGGGCCAAGAACCCACCAGTGGCCTGCCGCAAGGCCCCCTTCGGGGAATCTCTTGACACCTGCGGCTACTTCATCTCGTTCAAGGAGAACGTCAAACCCGGCTTCAGACTATTCAATATCTCCCACCCGGCGGAAGTCCGGGTGCAGCAGCCCCGGGTCACTCAGTGCCAACGGTGCCTCGGTTTCCACAATCCCCGGAACTGCACCAGAACAGAAAGGTGCCTTAAATGCGGCAGGCCGTCATACAGGCACACCGACAACATGGCAGACTGCCCGTCCCCCCCGCAGTGCGCCAACTGCAATGGCCCTCACACGGCAGACTCCCTAAAATGCCCTGCTAGACCGGCGGTCAGGAACGGGGAAAAAGTGCACACAACCCGGGCCCAACTCCAGGCAATCCGGGAATTGGGCCAGCAGGAATACAACAAAGCCAACCCACCCAAACCCAAGCCTGCCCCCGCCCCGGCCCCCAATGCCGAGAAAACGTCTAACCCGGAAACCCGAACGGGCCCCCGCATACGGCTGCCAATATCCAGCTCGGCGCCACCCTTCCCCCCTCAGGCCCCGGCCAAGAAGGTCATAGTCGAAGTCGACCCGGACGAGGAGGACCCCCACGAGGGAGCCTCCCCCGCCAGGTCGGCAGTCCACGTGGCCGGCCCGGACAGCGAGGAGGAGGACGTAGAGACAGAAGGGGACGAAAACATGCTTGACGCTCCCCCCGGAACTGACGGACCCCTCGATGCGAGCCTATGAACGATAGGCCCCGTCGCAGCCGCCGAAGAAACACTGGCCTCAAAATCTTCCAAGCCAACGTCGGGAGGAGCGGTCCATACCAGGACATCGCCCTATCGCTGGCATGGGAAGGTGGCTACGACATTGTGCTGATCCAGGAACCCTACGCCCAATGGGACAGGGTGTCGAACAGAAGGCAAACCAAGAATCATCCTGGATATCAAGCATACAACCCCCTGAACAGCTGGAGGGACGCCAGACCCTCAGTTCTCACATTCGTTAGAATCTCTCCGAACCTCCCCAGCAAACAACTCTCTCCCCCAGGCCTGGAGGACGGATGCGTATGTTGGATAGAGGTATGCGGTTACACCATCGTCAACGTCTACCGAAGGGCTTCGGCAGACTCAGCCACAGAGACCCTCACTAAATGGGGCCCTCCCCCCCCCCGCTCAATCATCGCAGGCGACTTCAACGCCTCACACCAACTTTGGGAACCGGGCAGGGGCGCGGACCCGGCAGGCAACAAAATCGCGGAATGGGCGGAGAAGCACGATCTCCTCCCAGCTCTAATAGACACGCCCACCCGACACTCGGGAAAGTGCATCGACCTGGTCTTCACAAACTGCCCTGCGTCAACCAGGGTCGAACACTCCCTCAACACAGGGTCGGACCACTACACAGTGATCACGAACCTGCCCGAGCCCCTCAGGACAACCCCGGGGGCAGGGAAAAAATACGTCCCGTTGGAATGCTGGGAAGACTTCGGCCAACTCATGCGCTCCTTCGCTTGGACCCTCCCCACGGTCGACCTGACCACACCGTCAGAAACCAACCTTGACGAATGCGCCAAGGCCCTGCAGGACCTCTTCAAACAAGCCATAGAGGGGGCCGGCAAGACCAGACACCAGAACGGCCACAGTGCACCATGGTGGTCGGAAAAGTGCAAAGCAGCCCACAAGGCCTACAAAGAAGCGGCAGACGGCTCCCCCGCCCAAGAGGGAGCCCGTAAGACCCTCAGAGACTCCATACGCCGCAGCAAGCGAGCNCACTGGGACGAGATCATAGCGGAAGCCAGCGCCACTAGGAACATTTGGTCAGTGGCCAAGTGGCGCAAGGCGACGGACCGCTTTCAACCGCCCCCCCTGATAGACGGGGACAAAAGCATCTCAGACCCCACGGAGAGAGCGACTTTCCTCAGAGACAAACTTCTCAAGCGAAAGACAACAGAGGAGGACATCTCAGACCCATGGGAAGAGGACTTTCCCGTCAACAAGAACATCCACTGGGACCAAACAGTGTCGGAGCCGGAGGCCAAGAAAGCCACAACGGGGTCAGGAAACACCGCGCCCGGCGCAGACGGCATATCAGTCGCCCTTCTACAGCTCGCCTGGCCTGCCATCGGCGAGTACGTAACCAACCTTTTCCGCGGATGCCTGATGATAGGACACCACCCACTCCCCTTCCGGAGCGCGGAGATCACCATCATCCCCAAACCTGGGAAGCCGGAGAAGGCGTACACTACGCACAAAGGCTATAGACCCATCTCCCTGCTCTCCTGTATAGGCAAAGGCCTCGAGAGACTCCTAGCTAGAAGAGTCTCCCTCCTAGCGATGGAACACAAAATACTGCCAGAACAATATTTCGGGGCTCTCCCAAAAAGGTCCGCGACAGACCTGGTCGCCTGCTTGCTACACGACGCCGAAGTCGCCCTGGCCCA